GTAAAATCTTAGAAGGTCTCTTACCTTACTTTCATGGAATAAGTATGTTTCCACAATTTCAACCAGTACACCTAATAAAGAAATATGGCGAAAAATGAAAAGGGTATCAAATGCAACACCGCAGTTTGTAATAAAGCACTTAAGTGATGACAAAAACATCATCTTATCCTCCAACTTAGAAATAGCTAACCTTCAGCTGCCAGTAGTTCAAAAAATTTGAATCCTCAATTCTTGTCCAGCACGATTGATTTAAACGTCTCTCCGGATTTTACAACAGACACTGAATATGATTACAATTTACCTTTCAAATTTAGTGAATTGGAGCGCGCACTAAAAAATTTAAAAGAATCTTCAGCAGGTTTAGATGAAATATCATATTCACTTATTTCAAATTTGACATTTAATGCAAAAATTCTTCTACTTGAAATCTATAACCACATCTGGGCCGCGGGCATCTACCCAATGTCATGGAAGAAAGCTGTAATTATTCCTATTTTAAAGGAAAATAAAAATCCTACTTCACCTAACAACTACCGACCCATTAGTTTAACATCTTGTCTTGGAAAAATACTTGAAAAAATGGTTAATTATCGTCTAATGTATACATTAGAGAAACAAAATCTTATTTCCAGTTATCAATGAGGTTATAGACAAGGGCGCTCAACTATAGACAATATTGTGCTTCTGGAAAATGCTATTCAAAAGGCCTTTTTACAACGTCAAATTCTAATCGCTGTTTTTTTCGATATTGAAAAAGCATATGATACCACCTGGCGGCCAAGTATCTTGCAGAAATTACATGATTGGGGTTTTCGTGGAAATATGCCCACTTTCATCAAATCATTTCTTTCGGATCGATCATTCAGTGTGAGGGTAGGAAATTGTTTATAAACAGAACATGCATTAGAAAATGGAGTACCTCAAGGCTCTAATTTGAGTGTAACACTATTTCTTATAGCAATAAACGATATTGCCGCGCGTTTAGATCCGGAAATACAAAGATCTTTATACGTAGACGATTTATGTATCTATGCAAGTGGTAATTCGACTGAAGAGATTAATGGGAAACTTCAGGAATCCATCAATATTATATTGGAAAATGCAGTATCGGTGGGGTTTAAAGTTTCTAAACAAAAGACAGCTTACATAATATTTTCTAGATTGTATAGACACTTCGAAGAACCTTTGCTTCAGTTGCACGATTCGCCTATTAATAGAGTTTCACAAATAAAGATTCTGGGTGTTATTTTTGATGCAAAATTAAGGTGGCTTTCTCACATACAATACATTAAGGAACGTTGCCATAAAGCACTTAATCTACTGCGTATGCTGTCAGGTACAAGGTGGGGGGCAGATACTAAGATATTAATGCAACTATATACAGCAACAGTACTACCTATCTTGGACCATGGTTCCGAAGCTTATGGTTCAGCGAGAAAAGGTGTACTTAATAAACTTAATACCATACATCATTTGGGTATAAGATATGTACTTGGTGCCTTTTCTACAAGCCCTATTAATAGTCTATATAGTGAATCAGGTTTACCTCCCTTGAACTATAGACGAGATATACAATTAGTAAACTACTATCTTAGACTCCTAGCTGAACCAAATAATCCAATTTTCGCAATAATCCAACAACAAACACTTACCTTTAGATTGACAGCTACCAGACCAACTATCGTTCGTGCACAAGAATTGATACAATCTTTAGATATGGCATTACCTCAGGTATTTACCTACCAATAGGTTGGATCTCACTAAATTTTCAAAATCAAACGCCCCCCATGCAATGTTTCTTGCTGATTTTCACAACATAGTGCATACTTATCCTGATGCCTTTTGTGTTTACACTGATGGATCAAAAAAAGAAAACGGTGTTAGTAGTGCAATATCAGTCGATAATACAGAACATTCCTGGACGCTTCAACCATGTTCCTCAATATTTCTTGCAGAGTTATATGCAATATTCCAAGCACTACTATACATAAATATGAACCTCAATAACCGCAATTTTCTAATAATAAGTTTCTAATATTCACTTAGTAGTATCAAATCCTTACAAAACCTGTACACAAAAAAAGCAATACTTCAACAAATCTTAGGCACACTAGACAGTATCACAAAACAAAATCATAAAGTTATTTTTATATGGGTGCCAAGTCACGTTGGAATTGGGGGGAATGAACGTGCTGATTGTGTAGCATCCGAGGCTGCAGATAAAGCAACAATGAATGTGAACTTTTGCAAACATAAAGATATTGCAAAACATGTAAGATCCTTGATTTATAACAGCTGGGAAGAACAATGGCAAAATACTCCAAGTTTCTTGAGAAAAATCAAACCCCATGTCTATCGAATAAGTTCCGAAAGGGAATTAAGCAGGTCAGAACAAGTGAAACTAAGTAGATTGCGCATTGGCCATACATCGTTGACCTCCAAATATATTTTAAAAGGGGAGCAGAGACCCATGTGTTCAAATTGTAATAGGGAACTCACTTTAGAACACATCATTGTAGAATGTACATTATATGAACAAGCAAGAAATATTTATAATATAACAAGCATAGAGTCTGTCTATGAAAACTCATTGAATCTGATTAAATATTTTAAAGACATACAACTATTCGACCAACTTTGAATACTCTTAATGTGCTACTATGTGGTCCTGAGTGAAATTATTGTGAGTGCTAATGGCCTGACGTCGAAGCGCTTTTTTTTTTCTTTTTTTCAATAATAATAATAATTTAAATCAGTATTAGATTCATTATTTATGTTTTCTATTTTAAAAACAATACTATAATTAGACTCACTTATTAAATTTTCTAAATTTAAATTAGTAGTTCTTATTAAATTAATTAATTTTGTACGTTCCAGATCGCATTGCGTTGCGCTACCGCTTTGTACATTTCTGGAAAGCACTAATTGCCCGATTGCAAAAAAAAAATTTTACTTTTTCATTTATAATTTTACAATAATTTGAATATATTTTTAAAAAATGTGCAACGTCAATTCTTATGTAACATTTCGGTAAATTAGAATTTATAAATGCATCTGCGTAATCGTCTATGGTAAGATTTCCTGTAAAAGCTCGCGCAATTGCAATTAAAAGCGCTCAGGACGAATCGCATACAATTTCTTTGGGCATCGGTGCACCAGAACGTACCCACTCTGTCAGCCAAAAATGAATAGCATTGACGTTGTGATTTTCGCTTATCATTTGGCAAACCGATACCTTTCCATTTTTGCAATTAATCACGCAATGGTATAAAAATATACGTTTGGAAATTGTGCCATCAGGTTTACGTAATTGTTTTACGACATTTCCGGCGTCGTTTTGTGCGGAATATTTTTCCACTTCTTCAGTTCAATAGATATGAACTGCTTTTCATAGCAGTTCTTTGCCGATTATTTTCCACGTTGGATTTCGTAAATATCTTTTTCCGCAAACAGCGTTTCCTTCTGTAGAGGTGTAATTTAATTTTACACAATTATTGGCTGAATCTAAATCCTCTATAATACACTTTAGTGTACTACCACATCTACAAGTTCCTGAACAAAAAAATGCATCAATCTATATTATGTATAACACTCTTGAATTAAAAAATTTATTAATTGCTTAAACATTTATGTTAATGCAGGTGCCACAATACCCTACAAACCTTAACTCCTTTGTTTACATTTTGATTAGTTTAATTGCTATTTTTCAGAGTACATTTAAATGTTTCTAATGCCACATCTGATTTCAACCGATCGAAAACTATTTTTTTTAATTGAATGTAAACAATAATTAGTACTCTAAATACTGTTTAAGCGTTTTAAATTTAAAACAAAATAAAAAAAGAAGTGCGTCCCTGGACCTAGTTCGCTATGAGGGCCTATCATAAATCACGTAACGAGTTACAAAAGTATGCAAATGATATTATGACGGAAGACAGTGAAGAAGAAATTTTACAAGATGGCGCAATAGATACAGAGAGTTCTGATGAAATTTTCGATGAAGACAGTGACGATAGCGTAAGAGATCATAACTACGTTTTTGGTTCCAAAGGGGTATCTGATCAACATACTATACCCGATTCAAGTAGTGAAGAGGAAAATCTTGAAAGCAATCAACATGATGCTGAAGTTCAAGAAGATATTTCAGAGTGGTCTTCCCACGTCAAAATTCTAAAGCGATTGCCCTTTTCAGGATCTACTGGTGTGCAAATTACGTTTACAACAGATGAGAATATATCAGCTTTGGATGTTTTTTCGCGTATAATTGATGATAATGTGTTGCAATTTATGGTGGACGAAACAAATCGATACGCAAGTCAATTAATTAACAGCAAGAGAGAGATACTGACAAAGATTAAATAAAAAAATTTCTTGGGCTCATAATGTTTATGGGAATTGTAAAATACCAAAAAATAGAATATTATTGAAAGAATATTGGAAGAAAGATCTATTTCCACCCATTACTGCATAACAATATGATGAGTTACAATCGATTTTCAACACTTTTACGTTGCTTACATTTTGTAGATGACAGTAAAATAAGAGAAAATGCTGATACATTATATAAAATTAACCCGATAATAGAAAAGGTCATGGCAAATATCAAGAAAAATTACATACCGGGTGATACCGTGGTAGTGAATAAAACAACGGTTTCATTTTGTGGCAGATTGAAGTTTACTCAGTACAATCCCTCTAAATTCATAAGCTTTGTACCACTAATGGTTTTGTTTGGTCTTTCCACGTTTACTCTGGTCAGGATCCATCCTTGCATAATTTAGATAAACCAGGATCAGTCGTATTAAATCTAGGAAAAGCTTTGCTCCATGCAGGACGTCTTTTTATAACAGACAATTATTATATATACCAGCATACCGCTTGCCTAATATTTAGGAACATTGAGAAAAAATACGAAAGGAATTCCAAAGCAGCTTTTGACATAAAAATTAAAAAAGTAGTAGTTATAGCAACGCAAGCCAATGAATTAGCCAATTACTATCATGAAATGGCACGATAAACGTGACGTCCTAATGTTATCAACTTGTCATAAGGATGATCAGGAAGAAGTAACAAGGGTAAGAGGTAATATTGTAAAACCAAAAATGGTGTTACAATACAATAAAGGAAAGCAGGGCATAGATATTTCTGACCAAATGAGCAGCTATTATAGTGCTCTTCGAAAATCATTGGTATGGTATAAAAACATTGCTGTCGAACTTATATTTGGCACGGTGGTAGTAAATAACCATAATATATACAACGAAGTAAATCCAAATAACCGCATAAGTCTACTTACATTTACGGAAAATTTAAGTCGTGAGCTGGTAAATGTTTCAGTTCAAAATAATACGCCAGTTCAAAATCATGCGCCGTCAAGTGCTAAACATCATTTACAACAGATTCCTACGGACTAATATGCAGAAAGAGTTGTCATAAATGTTATGAAATAAACAAGGAGGGATATAGCACTGAAATAGCCAGAAAAAAGACAAAACAAGTGTCTACTGAATGTTGCACATGCAAAAAACCGTACTGCCTGGAATGTTTTAGTAAAACATTATATATGTATATATATATATATATATATATGTTACAGGCCGTACATGAAATCAGACCGTAAGTATACGGTTTAGGCGGTATCTATACGGTCTAGATGGCACAGACCGTATGGAAATGACGAGGTATTTTATATACGGACTAGACCATTTACATACGGACTACCGTAATTTAGACTGTATGTTCAATCGCAAGTGTCTAGTTGCTGTTTAGTTTTTGTCTCGTTTTGCTCCAATTTACAAAATATTTTGCAGCAAAATAAGCACAGTGGTGACATTCGTTAAAATTTAAACGTTTTTACTGTTTAATGCAATAGATTTCCACAATGGAATTACACAAACAAAGGTACGTTAATATTATAGTTACTTGTTACATAGTAATATAACCTAAAATTAAAAAAATAAAATAGGTTTTATGAACAACTGTATGAACGAAGAAAAGACGTTGCCGATAACAACCGCGGCTTAACGAGAGAAAAATATAGTAGTCTCATTGAAGAAGTAAAAATTGCTAAGGCTACTAAAAAAAAAAAGTCCAAGAATGCACTGGCTCTTAAAGCATTATGATGTGTTATCTGTTCAGGGGATAGAAAAACTGATAGTGCCTCTTAACAATGATTTAGTTGATGTAATATATTACGTCCATGACGACAAGTTGTTTAACATTCTTCAAGAACTACACACATCCACAGGTATGTTCTGTAATTGGAGTCATATATGGAGTAGGTAATTAATAAAATCACTTTTTACTTGCAGGTCATGGTGGTAGAGATCGCATGATGAAAAAAACAAAGGAAAAATACAAGAATATAATGCGTACTGAAATATTATTGTTTATTAACTTGTGCGCTCCATGTCAAATGAAACAAAAAAGGGAAAAGAAGGGAATTATATCAAAACCGATGATCTTCAATGATCTGAATTCCAGATGTCAAGTAGACTTAATCGATTATCAGTCGCATGCTGATGGTAAATAGAGATTTGTCCTGGTGTACCAGGACCACTTAACAAAAATTGTTATTCTGCGACCACTTGAAAATAAACGCGCAGAAGAAGTCGCTTACCACCTTGTAGACATCTTTACCACTTTTGGGGCTCCTGTAGTTTTGCAATCTGACAATGGACGCGAATTTTGCAATAGAATTATTGAAGAATTAAAAAGTTTGTGGCCTGAACTAAAACTGGTCCATGGAAAACCGCGTCACAGTCAAAGTCAGGGTAGCGTCGAACGCGCTAATCAAGACGTGGAGAACATGTTAACAACTTGGATGTTGGAAAACGAAACAGAGTCAAAACAGATTGGAGTCAAGGTCTACGATTCATACAATTTATGAAGAACACATCTTTGCACTCTGGAATAAAAAGGGCTCCATATGAGGCCATGTTCGGGGACAAACCGAAATATGGATTAAAAACTTTTAATATTCCATTAGAAGCAATGTGATTAATTCTATTCTGATTGAAAACACAGAAACCGTTCAACTGGAAACAGAGCAACCAGCGCTGGAAGGTGTTTCAACAGAAAAAGATTTAGAAGAAGTGGTTACGTTGGTTGTTACTGAAAACACACAAACCGGACAATCCCAATTGCACCAAACAGCAACGACCGAAAATGTACCACTAGAAAATAACAATAACACTCAAACACTCTCGTATGAAATATGCCGTAGTTGTTTCAATCCCACTAATCGTGATGCCTCACATGCTGAGAGCACGTCCTTGGAAAATATTTGCAATTTTTGCAATAGAAACAGAAACATAGCAAATGCCAGAAAGTGCGCTTACGATGGATTACAAGCACAGGCAAAACGAATGAAATTATTATCAGATAGCACCCATCCAAAACCACAGATTGGATCAACTGTGAGGATTCCTGTTCCAGATGTCGATCGTGGCAGGGGAGATGCTCGGTCAGTTTTAGCGGTAGTGTTAGAAGCTACAGAAGATGGTTTTTACCGCTTGGGTACAAAACTAGGAGTCATTTCAAAATACTACAGTCGTTCAGAATTTAGTATATCTCCTGCTAACATTTTGAAAATTGAAGAAATCACCAAAGATAAGGAAGTTTCTCTTAGATCGGTGGCTACAAGTCAATCTACTGGGCATGGGCAAGGTTTCAAAAAATGTTACTGTAAGACTAAATGTCAGTCAAACAAATGTGCTTGTCGAAAAAATAATGTATTATGTAACTCAAAATGTCACAATAGTCTAACTTGTACAAATAAATAAAAGATGCATTTTTTTCTTTGTTTAAAATATTACAGTAATATGTATATCGTCTATTTGCAGATGGACCGTTTATAAATAGACTAGTCCTTTTTCAAACCGACTTGTCCGTTTATTAAAGAACAAGCTTCTTACACATATAGACTAATAATTTCAGTCCATTTACATATGGACTAGTCCTTTTGTATACGGTCTTGTTTACATATATGGTCTGTAACATATACATATATCGGAAATCCTAGTGTCTAAACTGAAAACCGGGCTGATATGTTTTGTGTGAACTTGTGATGTCTATCCAACCTAACACAATGCAACTTACAACAACTCAACGCAACCTAAGGCACCCCAACGCAACCCAAAGCGAGCTAACACTTGTGTTATCTACCCAACCCAACGCAATTCAATGCAACCCAACCCAACGCAACCTAATGAAGTAATGGTCGTGCAAAATGAAAAATGCAGCTGAAAAATTTGGTAGCTGCCATAAATCACGGCTAAGATAGTGTCATGGTTTGGGAAGCTATACTAACATCCAGCGTGGAAAAAACAGGACACATTATAGATCGATTACGGATTAACATGGAAATGTTGATAGTTCTGTATTCTTGAATTGATGATATTCTTGCAAAAAATCTCATTTGTTTTCTATCCAACCTTGATTGAGTCAAACAACACGATAAATTACTTAAGATTATATCTTGTAAATTAATTTAATGATTGTTGCTGGGTAATTATGATTCGATAAATAAAAACTATATCAAAATAAAACTATATTCGTTGCTTTTCACAAATACAACTTATATCTCAGTGAACCACATAAACTAACTGTATTCTTATAGACATAACTACATAGTTACATAGTACGTTGTTTGTATGGGTTCGGTGGCGGGGTGAGCGACGAAGTAAGAACACCCGATACCGTTTCAGAAAGAAACCCAGCCAGAGAGACGGAAAAAAAGAAATATCGTTGGAAAGAGAAAAGCGAGCACGTTAATTCGAGGCGCACACGCGGGTCTCNATATATATATATACACATATATATATATATATATATATATATATATATATATATATATACAGCAGGATGTCCCGAAACTCAACGTCAAGCAGGCACCGCGTGGGAGACCAACCTATACCCGTTCTGGTAAAAATGAGAAAAAAATTCCATGTCTCTTAGTTAAGTGGTAATAGACATACTTTTGAAAATGTTAAAAATCGGTTCCGTACATCATATCTTTAGGTACTACGGTCAGAAATGTTCGCAATTTAATATTGATTTTTTTAATAATCTATTCCTTGCGAACCATGCTACTGCAGAAGTCACAAATCAAACAACAAAAGTCGTTAGTTTTGCAAAAAAATATATTAATTTGATTGAGTTAAGGTTGAAAGAATTTATGTCTATCAAGTTCAACACGCGATTTCTAAAAAAAAGGAGTAGTACAACACCCTTCGCAAGTTATTTTTAAAAATGGCCTGTTTAGTCAAGTTTCCAAAATGGTACAACACTTGCCATTTTTCTTGTCATAAAAAATATTATTGCCTGTTTATCTGCAAAAAAACACGTTATTTAAGCAATTGATACTTTTGTATGTTATTTGAATTTACTTTTTATTTCCTCTTAACTTTGTTAGAAGATGTGCAAGTCAATATCTACGAACTACAAAATGTGGTTTCAACAAGATGGTTGCCCTTATGTCTTGGAAAAAGACTCTTTCAAATGAGGTTAATCTAAAGACAAAATTAAACAAACAAATTTATTTATTATTAATTTTACAGTATTATTTTCTTAAAACTAAGGCAAATGCTCAAATTATTTGCCGTCGGCACTAATACAAGCTCTGCATCGTAACAGAAAAGATGTTTTTACTAGTTGTGCAAATCTCTTTGCATTTAATTCTTCTGCTACTGTATAAATATTGTGGCTCAGTTCAGCAAGATTTTCAATCGGTTTTTAACACACTGTTTCTTTTATGCAATCCTAATAAGAAAATCAAAGGGATTTAGGCCCATGAGGAGGCCACGTAATCGAACCACGACATCCAATCCATCTTTGTGGGTATTCTGTATGCAATCCCATACAGGACAAGCATAATGAGCTGGGCAACCATCTTGTTGAAACCACATTTCTCTGTAGATATTGAATGGCACATCTTCTAACAAAGTTGTTAAATCATTTTGGAGGAAATACAAATAACATATGAAAGTGTGAATTTTTTAAATAACGCGTTTTTTGCAGAAAAACAGGCAATCATATTTTTTAGGTAAAGAAAAATGGCAAGTGTTATACCATTTTGGAATCTTGACTAAACAGGCCATCTTTTAAAATAACTTGCCAACGGTGTTGTACTACTCCTTTGTTTAGAAATTGTGTGTCAAACTTAATAGACATAAATTCTTTCAACCTTAACTCAATCAAACTAATACTTTTTTTTGCAAAACTAACGACTTTTGTTGTTCGATTTGTGACTGCTATAGTAGCATAGTTCATTAGGAATACATTATTAAAAAAATCACTATTAAATTGCGAACATTTCTGACCATAGTACCTAAAGATATGATGTACTGGAACGATTTTTAACATTTTCAAAAATATGTCTATTACCACTTAACTAAGAGATAAAGAATTTTTTTCTTATTTTTACCAGAACAGGTATGGGTTGGCCTCTCACCCGGTGCCCGCTTGACGTTGAGTTTCGGGACATTCTGTATATATATATATTTGTTTGCTACGTCGAAGCTGTACATGGGCGTCCATAGCCAACGTCCCGTGCATTACATGTGATGCACCGGCCAGTGAACATGTTAAAAAAGGTATAAGCTGTATTTAAGGCATATGAAGTGGACTGATTAATGGTGGATAATAATGTACCCATCAAAAAACCTTAATCGAAATATATCTGGTTATAGACTGATTATAGAGAGGAAATGGTTGAACAACATTCTTGACATAAACGTCAAAACTTTATCTTACTTTTAACTGATTAGTCAAAAGTGTGCACCCAAGATATATTGAATCTACCAAAACGCTGGTGGACCAACCTGTACGGAAATCACGTTTACAACATACCCAACACCAAAAAGTTCATCACTACCCAAAACGAGAATTCCATTCTGCAAACTATTCATGGATGAAATGAAGAAGGTTAATTATGCAATCGGATTATTTTAAAAACATTAATTCGTTTCTTGTGAAGTGGCTCATTTCTAGTTAGACACTGAAGTTAATTTTTAAGATTATCCACTTTCTTAATGTATAAAAGACACGTTATGTCATTCACTTAATGTTTATGTTATAGGGATTCAGCTAAATGAAGACTGGAAAACTAGACAAGATTAATTAAGGCGAGAATTTCCCATGTGACTAGGAATAGTATTGATCAGTACTGGAAAATGCAGGAGTTCCGAGGTGGTGTAAATGCGCCAAGAGTATTATTACTTATTACATATGCTATTGACTCATCCAGTGTATAGGTAAATATATCTCACGGATGGAGAAGTACGTCTTATTGTGGTCGATCCGAGATTTCTGACAGTCTGCTGACAGGAAACTTCGACAACGCACTGAAGATGCCAGGTGAGATCTTTTCGAAACGTCTGCCCCTTTGCAAAGTGAACCAACAAGAAGAAATCTCGGATTGACCACAACAACATATCTCAGTATGTTACTAGTAAAAATATATTTATTATTTTTTTTAATAAAATTAAAATACTAACAATTATTGTACTTAATTATCTGACCAAATAGGCTCGAAATATTTTATCATATCTCCCAATTTATTTTTCCAATTATTCTTGTGACCTCTTTTAACCGGAATCGGTTTGATGATTCGTTCAGTTTTCCTAACGATTTCGTGTTCTATAAGTCTCTGTTGAGCGTCGTACATACGTTTAATTATTTTACCAGAAAACTTTAAACCGTACAACTCCTTGACAATATTCATTATTTCCGGTGCCTCTACAATACTTGTAATATCCTTTTTAACAGCTTGAACATTTTTTAACTCCTCCATTAGAATCTCTTTTTCAGATTCATAAATTGCTATGAGACTTTCATAGTTTGCTATTACTTGTGGTCTTGCTAGGTTTCCAAGATTTCTTTCTCTACAACAGAATATATTTAGTATTTTTAAATACAGTAATATTAGCCAAATAGCAGTAATACCGTTATAGCCAAATATCATTATCCAAATATAATTTTTTATGTATATAAAAAATTTTTAATTTGCACTTTAAACTGTTTGAATGAATAATTTGAATGCAGACAAATTCGATGCACACCATTGCGTATTTTTTTATATAGTTAGTTTTGTTATAGTTGTATATTTTCATTAAACTAAAATCGGAACTAACACTAGCCCTAGAACTAGAAACATTCGCCATCTTAAGAGACGTATGGCTAAACCTGAATGTTTCTAGTTCTAAATCTACTGTTAGTTGTACTTTTAGTTCAATACAAATATCAATCAATAGCAATTAAAACTAAAACTACCGTCCTTGCTTTATACAGCGTATAGACAACTTGGGGAATACCCCGAGTTTATCTACGATACCCAAATGTTAGACGACCATACTTACACCCATCTACACATTATTTTATTGTCGACTTGTCCGCTTGACTCGTTCGAGAGTTCTATTATGAATGTCGTTCGAGAGACACGCATTTTTGTAGTTTGGTCCTTTTATGCGAATATAATTAAGTTAAACGTGAACCGGTGTATTATTTCGACTACGAAACCTAACATAGCAGCGGTGCGATAAAGAATTCGCGAAAATTGGTGTTAAAGAGTACGTAAAAAGTGCGTAAAAGTTAACGTTGAGTGGGTCAGCGCAACGGCTGGACTGGCGCCATTTGCGTGATGTTATCGGTTCTTGGGAGAGACAGAACAAAGTTTGAAGCGGTTTTTGCGTAAAAGAATAAAAATGGATCCTGAACGAAGCGATTTCGAAGGGAACTCCCATGTTCCCTTCTAGGTGCTAATTCTACAACTTTAGATGAGTATAGAACGATAGTTAGAACTGGACAAACAATTAGTTGCATGTGTTGGGAGCGAGAATTGTTAGAAAGAGAAAGAGAGTTATTAATGCGAGAACGAATGTTGCTAGAGAGAGAAAAAGTAGCGATCATTCGAATGCGAGTTTTACCGGGAAGAGGATTTCTCAATTCAATAACATAAATAATGGGACCGTTCTGCCAGAATTTAATCCAGATACGGTAAATTCGTTGACCGCGTCACAATGGGTGGTCAAACTACAGAACACTAGCACAGTTTTTGGGCGGGAGCAAGATGTCTTATTATTTAATGATTTTGAAGCTTGGTGGACCGTCAAAATTGTGGCATGATGGAATTCAAAGCAAAATTCAAAGTTGGGAAAGTTTTGAGACTGAGCTTGTTTGTGATTTTCCTACTATAATAGATGAGGCAGATATTCATTTTCAATTGAGTAACCAGAAGAAGCGATCAGACGAATCTTATGAAAGTTACGAAGTTATGAAGTTTGAATTGAAAGCGTTTGCGAGCAGGGGATTGGTAAGCGAAAAAGCTGTTGTTAAATACATTGTAAATGGCATATAGTATATGCCATTTACGATAAAGATTTGTCGAGGGCACTTATAATGAGCGCACCAGAAACCGTTCGAGATGCGCTGGTTAAAATTAAACATTTTGAAACTATGATTCGGAGTACAACAAAACCAATTGTTCACAAATCGGCTAGTGGAGAACCGTCTATCTCTACTAAAAACTGCTATAATTGAGGCGCAGCGGGACATCTAGCAAATAAATGTGAAAAACCGAAAAAACCAAAATGTTTTAAATGTAATCGGTTGGGCCATATTGCAAAAGACTGTAAAGACAATAGAAATGTACATCTTGTTGAGAAATTGCTAGAACCGGTGGATGAATACCATAAAATTATTGAATTGGATGGCAGAAAGTTTATGGCTTTTATTGATATGAGTAGCGATGTTATCACCATGAGAAAAGTGGACGCTCATAGAACCAACCTTTTGTACGGACTTTCAGAAGTGAGATTAGGTGGATTTGGTCGTGATGGTTGTCGGGTATTGGGAAGCACAAGTTGTACTATCAAAGTCGATGACGTGATCGTTGATGTAAAATCGATGTAGTGGTATTCATTGTTCCTGATTATGCTCAAAAGAAAGCGGTTATTGTCGGTAGAAGTTTATTAGATATGCCTAGGTTGTACATCACTAAATCGTACAAAGAATTGCGAATTAGCCGCAAACCAGATTCCGATATTGAAGAATCGTTAAATATTGCGGAAGAAGCACAGCAGAAAGAAGAATCCCCCAAATTACAAGAGGATATCATGGACCTTCATGTAAATGTAGTCACCAAAAAAGAGTATGTACCCATAAATAATTTGGAGGAAAACCTTGATCAGTTGGCTGGAAATAATTATTTTACCACACTGGACCTTGCAAGTGGATAAGAAAAAAAAGAAAGCTAGAAAGGGTATTAAACATATTAAAAGAAGAAAATCTGACATTAAACTTGAAAAAGTGTAAATTTCTGATGCAGAGTTGATTATTTGGGGTTCGAGGTGAGTAGCGATGGCATTCAGCCAGGGGAATTGAAGATTGATGCCGTAAAGGGATTTAAACGACCAACGAATGTACATGAAATACGACAATTCCTGGGATTATCTGTATTTTTCGGAAGACTTATTTTGCAGTATGCAGCAATGGTGAAACCTTTAACAATCTTGACACATAAGAACATTGAATGGCATTGAAATGAAGATCAAGAGAATGCTTTTCAGAAGATAAAAGGGGAGTTAGGGAAAACCACCCATACTTGCGTTGTATGATCCTTATGCAGAACTAGAAGTCCACAGCGACGCTTGCAAGACGGGCCTAGAAGGTATACTTTTTCAGAAGAAGGGCGATGAACCGTTACGTGTGGTATCTTACTATAGCCGTCAAATATCATCTATCGAACAAAAGTACCATAGCTAGGACCTAGAAGCTCTTGCTATAGTGGAATCTTTGGATCGTTTCCGCATGTATTTTCTTGGAAAGAAATTTCGAGTGATTACTGATTGCAACTCATTAAGAATCATAATAAAGCAAAAAGAGCCAATACCTCGTGTTGCACGTTGGACACTTAGATTGCAGGAATACGACTTTGATATCGAATATCGTCCTGGAACAAGGATGGCACATGTGGATGCACTCAGTAGAAATCCGAATGATCCACCGAAAGATGTCGACACTGCCGGAATGGACGTGATGACCATTCGAATAAATGAAGATGATTGGCTTTTAACTATGCAACTTCAAGATCAGAAATTGAAAATGATTTGCGACACACTTAAAAGAAAACCAGAATCAAATGAAGACAAGCAGATACATTTAGATTATAAATTAGATAAAAATAGACTATACCGAAAAGTAGGAAATGAGTTGAAGTGGGTTGTACCTAAGGAGATACGATGGAGAGTAATAAAGAGTGGTCATGATGACATGGGACATTTTGGGTTCGAAAAAGGTATGGGATACTTGAGAAAAACGTACTGATTCCCGAAGATGTCAAAGATTGGGAAAAATTATATCACTTCATGTGTGGAATGTGCTTATCATAAGCTGAAGGGTGGAAAAGGTGAAGCTAGATTGCATAACATCGAACGAATTGCTATTCCATTCCCTACCGCAAATATGGATCATCTTGGACCTTTTCCAAAGAGCGGAAAAGGAAACGTTCATGTTTTAGTTTACATCGACAATTTTACAAAGTATGTGTACTTGAAAGCTGTCAGGGACACGAAAACAAAGAAACCTTAGATGAGATAACAGGTATTTTTATAACAGGCAGCAAGGCCGAATGTTAGTCAACAATATTTATACCCAAATGTTAGACGACCATACTTACACCCATGTACGCATTATTTTACTGTCGACTTGTACGCTCGAGTCGTTCGAGAGTTCTATTATGAATGTCGTTCGAGAGACACGCATTTTTGTAGTTTGGTCCTTTTATGCGAATATAATTAAGTTAAACGTGAACCGGTGCATTATTTCGACTACGAAACCTAACATTAATAAAAATATTTTGTCTGTTGTATCCGAAGTCCGTTCTAACGAGGTCTGTTATATGAATATCAATATCATGTAGTGTTATAATTGTAGTGTATAATTATTAATTGTTAATATTTGACTATAAATGTTATGAGGGGACGCGTGTAATACCTGTTTAATTTTTACTTCAAAAAGAACTTACTTTTCAATTAAGTAATATAAATATTCTTTATAAGCATCATTATACGGAATAATAACATTGTTACTTAAGAAATGTGCAAACTTTGCTACAGCTTTTTGAATGATATCCTTTTCCTTTTCGAATTCAATTCTTTCACCCTGATAACGTGTTAATTCTTTTTGAATTAACTCTTTTTCGCCTTCTTTTGTAGTAATTTTATTTTCGATATGTAAATCTTTTGCGGATTCCTCGTACGGTTCGGTTGTATAATAAACGTGCATATGGTGGAGAAAACTGTGCCCACATTCTTTCCAGTTGCAAATCTTCATACCATTCACTAGTGTCATCGCCGAGCAACACTGTAAACGTTCATCGCCAGTAATATTTCTCGGAACTCCACTCAAGTAACAAGGATCGTGGCAGACCTGCTTATAATGGTACGAAGTGACGTCGCTAATCGTATGAGGTTCCGTACAATTTTCGTGTGTACACACTGTTCTCGGATAAGGATATTCAACAACTTTCAAATTAATTCTTGGAACACACAAAAATTGTTTTAAATCATCGATACTTCTCGATGTATCCAATAAATTTTCTTCTAAACGTTTAATTCTATTTAAATTGTTCTCGATCAAAACAGAAATTTCGCTTAACGGTTTTCTTAAGCGTTCGATTGACCGTCTTGCGTCCATTACGGAAATTGTATTTTGTATACGATGTGGTTTTAATGTCTCCACGTACTGTAGCAAACGTTTTAAAGCGATAACCGAAGTTTGCCAACTGTCATAAAACGATTGCTTAACTCGTTCAGAAAACACACACCCTTGACGTGTTGCTAATAAAAATCGAAAAGCCTCGCTATCCATACAAAATGTATTCTCGTGCTCGAAACGTATATCTACATTTGGTGGTGTCCCTTTGATTTCCTTTAAAACTTTCCGTAAAGGACCAACAGTGTCGCCTGGCCTATAAAACGTTGCTCGAGAATTTGTGAATAAAAAAACTATATTATCGACCGCAGTTCGCTCCAATGATGATAATAATTGTTTTATACAGTATTCAAAGAAAACGGTTAATCGGGCTTCATTCGGTTTTAGCATTAGAATGATTGCGTTGATTTCTCTGAATTCGCTTAAATACTCGAGCAAATTTGAAAAATTTTCTTGGTCTTTTGTAACTCCACCTGTGTCTCCAATGCCCGGTGTATCAATTAGTCGGATGGCCACATCTTTCGTTGCGAATGTATATGCCCGGCAAGCTTGTGTCGATGATTTTCCCGTTTCAAACGATTCATTTTTATCCATACCAAATTCGATCATTCGAGAATCAAAAGATGTTTCATCTGTGATTGTAAACCTAAAAAAAAAATAAGTTCTGGTAAAAGCGTACTTTAATTCAAAAGGGATCGTTTACTTTTAAACACAAAATTTATTCTTAGAAGAGCACATAATTCGCCAAACATTTATCAGTAATCTGCAAACTTTATCAAGGATGTCGAGGAGATTAAAATGACAGGAAAGGGGAATAGTAAATATGCAAAGACAAAAACGAGTAAAAACAACATAAAGAACATAACATGCGTCAGTGAGAGAACAACTCAGATCATAAGTGTGTAAGCCGCATACAGTAGCAAGAATTATAAAACATTCTCGACAATATCAATCGAACTGATAACGGATTCCGTTATCAGTTTTTCAAAATTAGGGCTCCCTAATTTTTTAAGAGCGATTTAATGGAATTACAAATTAAAGAGATTTGTATGATGTTGTGAAATATTTCTGTTTCACTCTAATTTGTAATTCCATTAAATCGCTCTTAAAAAATAAGGGAGCTGGTGTGTCCCAGACAGTACGTCGCGCCTTTATCTTACCTATATACAGAAATAAGGCGCGACGTCCTGTCTGGGACGCACCATCTGTTCCGATTGGATGGAATCCCCGTCACCCCGCAAAGCTTATTTCTGTTTCACTCTAATTTGTAATTCCATTAAATCGCTCTTAAAAAATAAGGGAGCTCTAATTTTGAAAAACTGATAACGGACTTCAACAACCGACATTATTTGACATATTTTGGTCAAATTCGCAAGAAAATCCACCCAGCCGTTTTCGACATAACGGCGTCTTACTAAACCGCGTTTTTCCACGAAACTGTATGGAATATTGAAAAAATAAAATACTTATTAAGAACACACCAGGCTATCACCTGTTCAAGATTTAAATTTTTTCGTACGATAGTTTTCGAGAAAAAAAATCGCAAAGTTGACAAAATTGCCGGTACCGTAAAAAATCGCGTACTTTTTTCATTTAACTCGCGATAAAAAGAGTGGATCCGAAAATTTTCAAATTAACAAATGTTACGTAGAAATGTTCAGTGATTACAACAATTTTTGTCACAATTTTTTTTATCGACTGGTTGCGAAGATATTGATCTCTAAAGTGAGGGGCCTTGACTGTTTGCACGGATAGTAGATACCGGATAAGAAGTAGAAGAGAGCGGAAGAAGAGGGGATGCGAGTGTTGCATGTGAGAGTGGAGTGGAGTTACGGGCAGTGAGTAACTAGCAGTGAGAGAGAGACATTGATTCTTAACTAAACTGGTGTATTTTTGAAGTTATAGTAAAGAACTAAATATCGATTTACTGTGGGTATGTGTTTTATTTTCTCCCACAATATTCAATTCCTACAAATTTTGGGGGCTCGTCCTGGATTCTGATCAATTAAAGGAGCTGGATAGGGTGTGCAGACGGGAGACGCAGGTGTGCGACGCTTATTGAGTGACCTTGAAGTGAAGACGTTTGTTTTTTCCGAGAAGTTGAGATTTTTGAAAAAATGAATAAAAGCGGTAACCCGCACGGCGAGGGCGCTAGTGGCGATAATTCGATAATTTGATGCGATGTGAACAAAGAGTATGAGCTGTTATTGTGCGAGCGAGAACTGATACAACGTGAGCGAGAACTAATGAACAGCACGTTGGATAGGTCGATGATAATGATATCATCGTCCAACGATAAATTGCGACAGTTGGTGCAAATGATACCAAAGTTTAATTCTTCGCGACTGGCCAGCTTATCCTCAAAACGATGGGTGGCGAAGATCGAACAAATCGGGAGTTTAAACGGCGTTGACAATGATGTTTTGACACTGCACGCTTCGACCAAACTTCGTGGGGCAGCGCGGTTGTGGTATGACGGCGTACCTGAATGCGCCACAACATGGCAGAACTTCAAAATCGAGTTTTTAAAGGCTTTTCCTACCAACTTTGACGAATCCGCGATTCACGCACAATTGATGCGAAGAAAGAAGAAACGCAGAAGACGTCTGTGAAGTTAGCACCTCATTTTTTTAAAACTTCAAATTTCTCTTGAGTTCCCATTGCACCCCATTGAGTTCTATAGTTCTCTACCATTTTTATTAAAAGTTCCGCTAAAATAGGCAAAAACATCGATATCCACTTTTTCGGGTGCTAAGTTCACAAAACGAGATCGCAAAATTTGCAATAACTATTAAACGAATCGAAGCACGTATCTAAAAACTTTATTAAAATATCTTTTAGAACTCGTGAGGTGCTATTCAGAACTCTCGGAACTTTTCAAAATTTTCACCCCTCCGGGACATTTACGACATCTCAATGTGAACACTTGAAATCGCGCACATTTTCTTAAATATTAGTTTTACGGCTTCGAGCCTTAATCATTTTCGTTAGAACTTGTGAGGTGCTGCCAAGAACTCCTATCAGAACTCCCGGAACTTTTCAAAATTTTCACCCCTCCGGGACATTTACGAAATCTCAATGTGAACACTTAAAATCGCGCAGTTTCTTAAATATTAGTTTTACGGCTTCGAGCCTTAATCATTTTCGTTAGAACTCGTGAGGTGCTACCTAGAACTCCTATCAGAACTCCCGGAACTTTTCAAAATTTTCACCCCTCCGGGACATTTACGAAATCTGAATGTGAACACTTGAAATCGTGCACTTTCTTTAAATATTAGTTTTACGGCTTCGAGCCTTAATCATTTTCGTTAGAACTCGTGGGGTGCTACCTAGAACTCCTATCAGAACTCCCGGAACTTTTCAAAATTTTCACCCCTCCGGGACATTTACGAAATCTCAATGTCAACACTTGAAATCGTGCACAGTTTCTTAAATATTAGTTTTACGGCTTCGAGCCTTAATCATTTTCGTTAGAACTCGTGAGGTGCTGCCAAGAACTCATATCAGAACTCCCGGAACTTTTCAAAATTTTCACCCCTCCGGGACATTTACGAAATCTCAATGTGAACACTTAAAATCGCGCAGTTTCTTAAATATTAGTTTTACGGCTTCGAGCCTTAATCATTTTCGTTAGAACTCGTGAGGTGCTACCTAGAACTCCTATCAGAACTCCCGGAACTTTTCAAAATTTTCACCCCTCCGGGACATTTACGAAATCTCAATGTGAACATTTGAAATTGAGCAGTTTCTTAAATATTAGTTTTACGGTGCTACCCAGAACTCCTATTTCTTAAATTTCTTAAATGTTTCGGTTTATTTTCATGGGTAAAAATTCTGATATTTAAGAAACTGTGCGTGATTTCAAGTGTTCACATTGAGATTTCGTAAATGTCCCGCAGGGGTGACAATTTTGAAAAGTTCCGAGAGTTCTGGCAGGAGTTCTGAATAGCACCTCACGAGTTCTAAAAGATATTTTAATAAAGTTTTTAGATACGTGCATTCGTTCAATAGTTATTGCAAATTTTGTGATCTCGTTTTGTGAACTTAGCACCCCAAAAAGTGGATATCGATGTTTTTGCCTATTTTAGCGGAACTTTTAATAAAAATGGTAGAGAACTATACACTCAATGGGGTGCAATGGGAACTCAAGAGAAATTTGAAGTTTTAAAAAAATGAGGTGCTAACTTTACAGACGCACAAAGAAGAAACTTTTGAGGAGTATTTCTACGAAATGGTGGCTATAGCGAAGAAAGGGTGCATCTCTGATCAGACTGTGATCAAATACATCATTGGAGGATTAAATCAACCAGACTTAGCAAGGGTGTTAACACTACAGTTTTATTCGGATTCAATTGATTTATTACAGCGTATTAAAAACTATGAAGCTACTTTTCAGCCGGAATGATATGAAAAACCTACACTTGACAGAGATCAGCAGAATTTTAAGCTAGAGGATAATAGGTTACCCAAAAAGTGTTACAACTGCAACGAAAGCGGACACTTAGCGGTAAATTGTAGCCGACCAAAGAAACGATGCTGTTTTTCATGTAAGCAACCAGGTCACATTGCAAGCGAATGTACCAATAAGAATCCAACTGGTAATAATAGAGCGAGTGTATCTATGGTTACGGTCTTTTCAGTTGTGATGACTAACATTGACGGACATGAGGTTAAGGCACTCATCGACACAGGCAGTAAACCTTATACAAAGTAGCGTATATTTGAAAATTGGCAACCTGCGTTACAATCTGAGGAAGTTGAACTGCTTGGATTGGTAACTACAATAACTAGATCATTTGGAAGCTGTACGACATGTGTGAAGATTAATGGCGACGAATATAAAACAAAAATGCTTGTTGTTCAAGATAGTGCTTTAAGAGTTCCAGTAATTTTGGGAGGTGTTTTGTTGAAGGAAGACCGAGTAATTGTAGATTCATCCGGGGTTAAAATAGAAAATCTAGAAAAAGTAAAGAAAATTGAAATTGAAGAAGAAAAATTAGGAGACTCAACGGAAAATGACGAAGAAGCGAATGTATTTCAAATTTATTACGAGGAAGACGATTTAAATTTGGATCATGTTAAGGAAAAGGACATTGTAGAGCAAATATTACGTATAAAGAGAGATTATGATCCCGTGGAAAATAAAGTATTTGATACTGAGCTTCAGACTAAAATCATTCTAAAGGATGAAACCCCTATTTATCAACGGGTGCAACCCTTAGGGTGCGTTTACGTTGGAGCAGCGATAAACGATAATAGCGACGATACTGGCAAAACAACAAATTGTTGTAATAGTTTTATATGCAGGAGTTTATATTGGAACGAGAGCTGCGATAAACGATAAGAGCAGCAATGAGAGTACCGATAAGAGCTGCGCAAAATGAATTGAAAATGATTTGTCAGAACAAATCTGTTGTGGTGATTTTTATCTTTTTGGTCCCACAAGGGGAATCTAACAAAAATTTCACTAATTAAACAGACGATATCCATGCCGACCACACCTGATAACAGCAAAGAAAATAGGGAATACAATTAGCGTCGCTCTTATCGTTAGTCGGCTGTCAAGCTTGTGACAATTCGTCGCTCCAATATAAACACTTGCATATAAAACTATCGTTTATCGCAGCTCCAACGTAAACGCACCCTAAGAAAACAACTCCGGTAGAACAAAATTATTGCAGTTACGAACTTGAAACATTAGCTGTGATAACAGCCTTGAAGAAGTTCAAGATCTATCTACAAGGACTCAAGTTTAAAATTGTAACTGACTTTGTCACCTAAACTAGCGAGATGGGCTATGTTTTTGGGAGAGTTTCAATATGAAATTGAACATAGACCAGGTACGAAAATGGCGCATTGTGCTGCTCTTTCAAGGAATATTTTAACTGTTACCATTAATTCTGAATTAATACAGCAGCTCAAACGAGCTCAAGCTGATGATGAGTATGTCAGGGCAGTGATAAAATTGTTAGAAAATAATCAACCACACGAAGACTAGCAGTTAAAGTACGGAATATTGTATAAAACTGTACGGGGTACAGATTTGGTTGTAATACCAAATAAGATGCAAATGGAAATAATAAGGAGAACGCACGAGGGTAACGGGCACTTTTCCATCAGAAAAACTGAAGATGTGATTTTACGTGATCTTTGGATTCCAAAACTTAGAATAAAGTAGTAATACGTAGTAATACGTAGAAAAAATCCAGGTATGTTTCTGCAGGTAAGCCAGTAATTTGGAAGCACTTTAGACCCACTTTGGATATACCAGGAATATAACGGTAGTGGGCTTTAGAAATAAGATGCGACATAGTAGTACCTGCAAACACTACATAATCTGATGACTGCTGCTCGAAAATATGTCGAATTGCTTCAGAAAATAAAAGAGCGTATCGGGAAAATGTTTGCGACAAAAATGTTTCCATCGATGAATAGATTTGACCTTTCTCAGGAAGATTTAACAAAAAGCAACAAGTAGTGAAAGGTAAGCGAAATCCGTAAGAGAAAAATTGAATTAAAAAAGGTAAAGGGGCCCCAGTGAAATCGAGTTTGTATTCGAATACTTTGCACTGTTGGGTATATTTACCATTTTTAATGCTAACGTAGGTTTCAGTGCAGTATGCCCCAATTTTATGTAAAGGATATTCACTCGCGATTAGAGGAGCAAGAAAAAAGAAAACGCTTGGACTTGCAATGTTAGTAGTGAAGCTTACCTTATGCACAAAGAAAATAAAGGACCGCACTTTATTTTTTTTGTGCATAAGGTATACTTTTATTTTCTAGTAGCCAAATCGTTACTCGCATAATTGAGACAATCAAAGTTTGAAATGTTTGAAATGAAAAGTTTTCCAATCTTTCTGCTCTAAAGCAAAATTAAGCTGAAAGCAAGAGGCAACCTTGAGACAATTTTATCTAAAACATCAGCGAATTCAATTGTCATAACAATTTCAAAACTAATTAAGCAAAAAGTTGCAGAACGATACAGAAGAATAAATTGTTAAAAAACATTTTATTTTTAATTTGAATTTGGTGTATATTGTATGCACATTTCAAAAGGTGTTTAATCCAGTGGTAACCATACTGTATGATAATAATATATGAAGAATAAAATATAACCAGTATATAGCTACTACAAGGAGCCAATGGCCTCAAAGTACATTCAGATCCAAGGCTTGCAGTGGGCAGAACATGCGGTCAGAGTGAAGGGATGGATACCCATATAACTGTTTAACAGGAGAATGCAAGGAGTGAGACCTAGGAGAAAGCAAGATGGGAGGACGAGACGATCAGGGTTGCGAGGGATATACTTACTTTGATGGTATTAAAGCGTGAATTTTATCGGCTTCAAGGGCATCATCGAGTGTTGGAAAGTTAAGGTAATTCGAAAATGCGTTAATAAACGTTGATTTTCCCACGCCCGTTTCTCCAAGGAGCAAAATGTTGCATTCCTTTTTTACAATAGACGTTTTCTTTTGATTATCGTTAACGGGTTGAATCCAAGAACTAAAGAAAAATTTATCTTCATTATTGAGTTGAATCGGTTTGACGACTTTTTCTGTGTTCTTAATAATTTCGTGATCAATATTTTTCCGTTGATAGTCACACATTTCTTTAATTATATTCCCAAAATGCTTCAAATCGCACAGCTCTTTAATAATATTTACTATTTCAGGCGCCTCTACGACACTTGTAATGTTTCCTTTAGTTAACTGTATATTTTTCAATTCCTTCACTAAAATCTCCTTGTGAGATTCGTAAATAGCTTTTAGATTTTCGTAGTTAGCGATTGTGTCTTGATTAGCTTGATCGACAAGATCTTTTTCTCTATAACAAGTAACATTTTCAAATTTAAAAGAACGCTTAAGTTACAAGGAAAGAAATCATGGCATGCGACCCACCAATTTTAAGACTATTTTTCAATGAAAATCCTCAATTTTCTATTCTCGTAAACCAAGGTGTAACAAACGCTGAAAGATTATAATCGGTGGGTTACATGTCGTGACTTGAAACTGTTGAATAACTATTAGCTACAATATTTAAGAATCTATGGTAAGTTTCTGTATTGATTTGTTCATAAATTTCTAATTCTACATTTCTAGTGTATGCAGGAATAAGATTCTTACTGACATTACATTATATCAATTTGAATAATGGAGTAAAATGGAACTATTTGGAATTTAGATGCCTGAAATTGATTTTATCTATTTCTCTGTTTTTACCTGAAGCTGAAACCACATCAATCAATCCAGAAACTGGTATGAGTTAAAGAAAAAATTAATTTAGGAAATTAGTATAATGAGGTTTGTACCTTTGGTGTCAAGTTCACTTAACTGTGTTGAGAAACTATTTACTACACAACAAAAGCATATGAACGAATCTAAATTATTGCTGAATAATATGGCTAATAGTTTGTGGATGGTGTTCTTAAATAGAAAACATTAGATTTAATTAACGGTATAGTTTTTGGAACATAAATGCATGAGATGGGATACCGCTTCCGTTGTCAATTTGCATAAACTTCTGTAAGGGGAAGAGCATGGATGGATGTATACCGGAAAAGTAAAGTACATGTTAAAAGAAATGACAAAAATAAAATAAGAGTGATGTGGAAAGGGTGAAAAATTGTAAAATAAAGAAGTGAGAGAATTATTGGGAGAAACACAGATTGTTCGAAGTGAACTTTGAACTTGTTGTTTCTGAAGAAGTTATAGTTTTAATTTAATAAATTATTTACCATTCATATAAAAATAGTCATTAAAGAATTTGTTAAATTAATCTTATAACTCATTCTTGATGTATAACACTATGATATAAATATAAAACTTACTTTTTGATTAACTTATTCAAATACTCTTCATAAATATCATTAAACGGAATACTGGCACAATTACTTAAAAAATGTGCAAACTTCGCTAACGATCTTTGAATAATTTCCTTTTCTTTCTCCCACTCCATTCTTTCGCATCGATATCCTTTCAAATCTTTTTGAATGCGGTCTTTCGCGCTTTCTTCTACCGCGATTTTTTCCTCCTCTTTTAGATTAACTTCTAAACGTTTAATTTTATTCAAATGGTTTTCGATCACAAGCAGAATATCGCCCAATGGTTCACTGCTTAATCGTTTCGCATCCATAATTGAAATCGTACTTTGTATATGATATGGTTTTAATGTGGACACATACTGTAACAATCGTTTTAAAGCGATAAGAGAATTATCCCAACTATTTTGAAATGATTGTTTATCGCATTCGGAAAATTTATGACCTTGTTTCTGTGCCAATAGATATCGGAACCCTTCGTTGTCCATACAGAATGTATTGTCCGGAACGAAAAGTACATCCAAATATGGTGATATCTCCTTAATTTTATTTAAAATTTGTCGTAAAGGATGGATTGTGTGATCAAGATTACAAACATTTCCTCGAGAATTCGTAAATAAGAATATAACATTATTAATCGCGCTGCGTTCTAACGCGAATAACAATTGTTTCATACAGTATTTTAAGAAAACCGTTAATCGATATTCGTTCGGTTTCAACATGATAATGACGGCATTGATTTTTGACAACCCTCTTAAATGGTAAAGTAAATTAGTAAAGTTTTCTTGCTCTTTAATTACTCCATCCGTGTCTCCGATACTTGGTGTATCAATCAATCTGATGGTAATCTCATCAGCTTCAAACGAATATAATCGACAGGATTGGGTAGCCGATTTTCCGGCTTCAAACGATTCATTTTTATCCATACCTATTTCGATTGTTTGTGATTTCGATGTTACATCGGTGATTATAAATCTAAAAAGAAAAGTATTTTATTAGCTTTTTGAAGAAGTTTATTAAAAACCAAATTGTGAAAGATATTTTTATAGAACTTAGAAAGATGTCGTGACACTACTCTTCATTGCGACAAGATGCTTCAATTCTGCTTAGAAAACGGACTGGTAGCGACACACTATTTGATCATCATATAAGACGATTCTATACGTGGAGGTCACCGGGGGGATAGATACAGAAACCTGACTTTATTGAACTAAAATTCATGCTATATATTATATAATACAAAAAACATCAAGCAGAGATCAAGAGATTAAAAAATATCAGACACGAGCAAAAAGTTATACATAAACTGAACGAACAGCAAGTGAATACTGATGAAGGATGAAATAAACAATAACCCAAATAATAACAAAAATAATATTATTAACGAGGATAGCGAAACGTAGTGGCTAAAATTTAAGAACGTGGTTGAAGATATTCCAGATACTTAATGTCTGGAAGAACACATTGGAAATAGGCAAAAAGCATTGGATTACTGATAAAATACTGGGTGTAATCTAGAAAAGGAGAAACACAAAGATGGCGAAAAGATAAAACCTACTTTACCAAAAACATGTGCAAAGAAATTGAAGAACGCTGTAACAATGAAATTAGATGTCAAGGAGATATAGCAGGAAAGAGAGATGGCTACAGTACTGTGAAGAGCTGTATTCCGACAAGGAATATATACAGAAGGCGAGGAACAATTGGGAAGAGATATATTGTGAGCCAGATATCTTAAAAGAAGAAGTGATACGTCACCTAAAAACAAATAAGGTCTCTGGTGCAGATCAAATCCAGGCAGAAATTTTTAAGTGCTGGATAATGCTGCTGTAGAAATGCTTTTATATATATGCAACAATGTATGGAGGACGGGAAAATGACCAAAAGATTGCACAAATGTCAAGTTTTATTCTCACACACAACAACTAAATAAATAATTAAATCTCCTTAATAGCTACAATGACAAAAAATGCCGCCCGAATAAACAGGGCTTACTAATTACAAGGGAAAGGACACGAGATCAGATTTTTAATATCAGAATTAATTGAAAAATCTCGAGAATACAACTAATGAACCTAAATAAGGTGAAATTGATGATAATAGACAGAGGCAATACTCCAACACAGGAAAATGTTGTAAATGAACTAGAAGTAGTCACAGAATTCATATCAGTCATGTGCTGTCAGGGAAAATGTGACAAAGAAGTTACAAGAATGTTGCCAAACGTTGCCATGACTAAGTTGACAAACATATGGATAGATTAACAAATCCATGTCAAACCCAAGGACAGTAGAATATAAGAGGACTGCTACATCCCAAGGACAGTAGAATCTAAAAGGACTGCTACATCCATTGTATTTTTGTAGTCCACTACGGGTTGGTTGCCCGCACTCTACGTCACACTATTTGCCACGCCTGGTAACTGTCTGTGTTTTTAGAGGTTATATGATAGACATTAATACGTCTAAAAACATAAAACATCAAAAATAATATGAATACGTCTAGGATATAACCTCTAAAAATACACAGCAAACGTATAGACCATAACAACAGCTGGGCGTGGAAAATGGTGTGACGTAGTTTGCGGGCATGTTGTCACAACAATGTATGTAGCAGTCCTGTTAGATTCTACTGTCCTTGGCTACATCCATTGTATTTTTGTAGTCCACTAGGGATTGGTTGCCCGCACTCTACGTCACACTATTTGCCACGCCTGGTAACTGTCTGCGTTTTTAGAGGTTATATGATAAACATTAATACGTCTAAAAACATAAAACTTCAAAAATAATATGAATACGTCTAGAATATAACCTCTAAAAATACACAGCAAACACATAGACCATAACAACAGCTGGGCGTGGAAAATAGTGTGACGTAGTTTGCGGGCAGGTTGTCACAACAATGGATGTAGCAGTCCTGTTAGATTCTACTGTCCTTGTGTCAAACCTAAGTATTCCCTGGACAAACATATACACTAACATATCTATACTGAAAGAGCTCGAGATTAAAGACAGACTCTCCATTATTTGCCGGTACTTCATTCTACAATATTTTAGGCACATAATAATTAGAAGGGATAGAGATAACCTGCAAAAATTAATAGTCCAAGGGAAAGGCTGGACTCCGTTTCAAGGCATACTTCAAGACCGCCAGTGATGGTTAATAAATTTTAAAAAAATCATCAAATCATATGTGAAAACCATAAAAAACATCAAGTTTGACTCGTAGTGAGGAATTATACATTTTGAACAAGTTTGGACACACGGCTGAACAGCTGAATGGCTCGGAGCGCAACATCTTCAAATCACACCTACATAAGGGAAATTAAATTGTTGTGATTGGTGATAAAAAGTCAAAAATTACGAATGTTACGCTGAGTATGCCCCAAAACTAGGACCGTTACTTTTCATCATCCACTTAAATTATATGCGAAACATAATAACCAGTAGTTCCCATTATTTGTGTGCCGTCGACACTGTTAGAATGTTGATTGGCAAAAAAATATCATTGCAGGCAACAAAATATTCCTATTACAAAAAATACTACTTTGCAAAATATAATATAAGTACCATTCTATTTGTTTTTGTTTTACACCGTTTGTTTGTTTAATGTAAGTCGTTAAACGTTATTTGAATTTAAAAGTTTGTATCCAACATACCTATGAGTTCTTGGAAGAAGACGTCATAATTTAATTTTACAGTTATTATTTATCACTTTGTATACTTGTAGTAAATGAAATTATTATTATGCCACGAAACACATAAACAGCCGGTGTAAGGGAACATTATAAAGTAATTAGTGTAGACGCACCAAAAATTAACTTGAAATTAGATAATAAGTTAACAGAAATGCATAAAAATTAAAAATTAAGAATTATTCAATAAAAGTGCGATATGTTAATATGTACCTACTTTTTAAATTAGCGACATTGATTTAAGAAGTTGGGTAAAATATACAAATTTTTTTGAGCCAAATAGCCCAGAATTCAGGTAGGGAATAAAAACCTATGCGAAGTTAGCCTCCAATTTTTCTAGCCCCCAATTAGATAGGATTTTACATGTATAGTATTTTGATTATAACAAGAGAACCAGTGAACCGATTTCGATAAACAATGTCTCATTCGAAAGCTCATTCCTTGGCCAATACGAAAGTGGAAATACCCGATTCGAAATCTCTCGAATTCCGCTAAAACGCCAAAATAATGCGAAGTTACACGAAAATAACAGAAAAATGACCTTTTTTAAGTGGTGATAACTCGTAAACGATGTACCCGATGATCAAGATCTATACGTCATTCGATTCGTCATAGTTTCTTCTATCGAAATCACAAAATGCCCGATTTCAATTCTCTCCCGTTAACCTTGTACAGCCCACGGAATGACACCGTGTTCGGCTCGTTGTTTACGCACGTATGAACGCCCGAAAGTCTAACCCCCAAATAAAAAAAAATAATTTAAACTAAATCGACTATAATAAGAGAACGGTTTGACGGCTTTTAACGTTTTATATGTCAATCGATAGCTTTCGCCTAGCTGAATGCAGTTGTCGAAATGCCCGATTCGAAGTATTTAAGAATTTTGATTAAAACACAAAAAACGAATTAATCAAACACATCAATTATCTCCTTAACTAATCCGTCAAACCGTTCTCTTATTATAGTCGATTTAGTTTAAATTAATTTTTTTATATTGGGGGCTAGACTTTCCGTCGATCATAAGTGCGTAAACAACGAGCCGAACACGGTGTCATTCCGTGGGCTGTACAAGGTTAACGGGAGAGAATTGAAATCGGGCATTTTGTGATTTCGATAGAAGAAACTATGACGAATCGAATGACGTATAGATCTTGATCATCGGGTACATCGTTTACGAGTTATCACCACTTAAAAAAGGTCATTTTTCTGTTATTTTCGTGTACCTTCGCATTATTTTGGCGGTTTAGCGGAATTCGAGTGTTACCGGGGTGTTTTTTTGTGTTAAAAACAGACGGTTGGTTTGAATATGTTTATTTACAATTATGTACAAGGGATATTTACAAGGATTATATGTACAGGTACGGCGAATGACGACCATCGACGGAGAGCGTCGAAGGCAGGCGTCGTTTGAATATGAGACTTGTATCTTCTTG